CACTTGGTGCTTTGCAAGGGTGGGGAGACTAACTCTCATAGATAATAATCTAACAACTAACAATTGACTTTCATCGATCAAAAAAAAAAAAAAAAAACCTTAATGGAAGTATAAGAAAATCTCACAGAAAATAGTTTCACCAAAAGAAGAGCTTCCTACTAACTAATCACCAATTGATTACTTTATCAAGTTCAAAAGGGTTGTCGTTGAAGATGTTCTTTGTGTGTTCAATCCATGTTTGATGGATCTTGTCAATAACCAGGAAATGAAGATATTTTGGAAAGTGTACTTGGACAAATTCTTTTTGTAAGTTAGAGAGAATGCCGTGGAACATGCACACTTTTAAGTTTGGAATGGAAATTTTATATATTTTATAATTTTAATGTTTATTTATTTATAGTTTAATTAGGATTTTAGTCACTCTTTTTGATTTTGTTTTCAAAATATTTTTTTCTTAAAAGCACTAAAAACTAATTTGGTGAAACATAACGAAAAATTTAAAAACACTAATCATTTTCTTTTTCTTTTTTTTTTTGGGTGCAAAAATGAATTTAAAACATCTTTTTGGTTTTTATTTTCATCATACTAGTTTTTAGATTTTTTTTTTAAAAAAAAAAAAAATTGAAAACAAAACCAAACAAAGTGAGAAATTATTATTATTATTTTGGGGATTTTGAGTTTTCTTTTTTCTATTAAGTTTAGTTTTATATTTTGATTAGGGTTATTTGTCTATAAATAAGATGTTTTCGCATTGTATTAGACAGATTTGGTTATAATAATATTGTGAGAATAGGTTGTGGTCAGCGTTCTTCTCTCTCTTTCCCCAATTCCGTTCTACATTCTACATCAGCGCATCTCCCTTGGGTTTGAAGATTTACTTTTGAATGGGCTTCTTTCATGGTGAAAAATTTATGGTAGTATGCCTGATGGCTGGACCCGAATTTTCGGATATTATATAGAAGTCCATCCCACAACTCGTCCATTAATAGTGAGGCTAAAATTTTTCCAAAGAATTGCTCACGACCTTAAACTAAGCTATCCTAAAATGATTTCATTATGTGTAAAAGTCCTGAATATTTGGTTTTTGAACTTAAATGGCATATTTATTACTTGTCATTCATAAACAGCATCAAAGTAACAAGGTATTTTCTTCCAATTTTATACAAATAGCAAGAAGAGGGTTTTTTTTTTTTTTTTTTTTTTTATTCGTTAGGTATGACGCAATCAAGCCAAGACTACCAGTGGCAATACCATAGAGTAGGTAGATAGATTACCCTACTCTCTCTCTCTCTCTCTCTTTGAGCCAACATTCTAGCACCAATGATTATTGACTCGCTTTATATTCATTTTAAATATTGCATGAGCAAGTCAAATTAACTGCAATATATATTGGGTTTTGTTTGACAATGATACTTATGCTTTTTTCATTAAGTTCAAGTTTTGTCTTTATTTTATTTTAAATTTTATATTCTCCAATTTGTTATTTTGGCATCTTAATTTTATTGTTGTAAATTGAACATGTTTTTAGGCTTCGTTTATTTATTATAACATTTTGGTAACTAGGGTGTATTTTCTTAGTATATTAACACCATGCAAACAATATTGTTGATTTAAAAATTTATCTTCATAAGCTTAGACTGACCCTATCAAATAATTTTTTGAGTCTGCCCCCTGTTTTTCTCTCTAGCTCTTGCAATAGGGCAGCACCCTTCAATTTCACACTACCATGATCTACTTATCATGTCCAACTTTTGTTTAAAAATTTATTCCATTGTGTGATATTTGTTGCGTTAATCTCATCAAGGTACTGATGGTTGGTTTTGGAATCAAAGGGCTTGTTTCTTGCTTGTGTTTGGGTGTACCACTTAACTAAAATCGAAACTCATCCTTTTAATTTAAGGGAATTCGGTTCCAGTCTTAAGTAAATTAATAATGAGGCAAGTATTTGGCTCAATCCCCTTTTTGATACCCCCGCCCCCTCCTCTTTGAAGCCAAAATCTAGTGCTCATAAAATCTGTTTCAGTTACTATTCCAAAGCAAAAGCTTTCTTTGATTGCTTTTGTTTCTGCTTTGGGTTTAATATTACACGAAACTTGGTTTTCAATTTTTAATTTTGAAAAATCTAGAAATCCCCTAGATGTTGATTTGTGATTATGTATTAATTTTAAGCAGAATATAACAATCCCAATCAAACAATCAAACAATCAAGACAAAGAGACACAACAATTTTAACGTGGAAAAAAACCACAATTGGACACCTCCAACTGTGATCAAAAAACCACGGGCAACAGTCACAAGACAATCCACTAAGAAGAATTAAAGGAATTACACAGGTATACTCTCAGTTACCTAGCGAATCCACAACGCCTAATTGAACCAACCTTTATGTGCCTCTTCCAACCCCATATTCACCACGGAATTGTCTTTCTGATGAGCCACTTCGGATTCCACCAAAGCTTCAGGCTCGAATTCTTCAGAATCCACAACTGAAGAATAACTCTCTCTTTTGTGTATAACAAACAAGCCTTTGATGTGCTCTCTTTAGATCATGAGTTGAATACTCAATAAAAAAACATCAAAGAAAACTAGCAAAATCTCTCCAGATATAAACCTTAAGATCCAAAAATAAGATCTGGAGCAGTCCCTCTAGTGTTGGGAGAAATCCAACTATTTATAGAAAACCAAAGCAATCCTAGTTTCAGAAGAAAACCAACTCCTTTAACAAATCTGGAAATCTGGGATCGCGCGGTCCGCTCGAGTGCCCTTTTACCCGCTCGAGCGGAGACTTCAAATTCTGTGATTTCATACAGGCCCCACGCTCGAGCGGCGGTTTTGACGCTCGAGCGTCGAATCACACCATCCAGTACTTTTTCAGGCGATTGCAGAGATGCTGAGAGCTTCCAATCCCCGCTCGAGCGTCCCTTTCCCCGCTCGAGCGGGAAGGCCAAAACTGGAAAAACTGGAAAAATATAACATGATCGGACAGGCAACTTTGAATGCATTTTTGCATTTTGCTTCGGGCCGCGATCTGACCGGGCAGCTCGACCCCCGTAATAATCAGCGAAGTGGCAATCTTGAAAACATTAACATCACAAACTTCTCTGCATGGTTCGATTCGGGTTTGGATTCGCATCTAATAAACTCATAGCCTCACTGAAATAAAAGTGCGAAAATAAATACATCTGAAAGGAGTTTGTCAAACGGGGTTGCCAAGAATAAAAACCTAACAAATTTGTACATTGTCCTTTTGATGTTTGTTTGCCCATTGTTTCCGTTTACTGTATTTTTCTGGAATCTCTTTGGCTCAATCCCCTTTTTGATACCCCCTCCCCCTCCTCTTTGAAGCCAAAATCTAGTGCTCATAAAATCTGTTTCAGTTACTATTCCAAAGCAAAAGCTTTCTTTGATTGCTTTTGTTTCTGCTTTGGGTTTAATATTACACGAAACTTGGTTTTCAATTTTTTATTTGTACATTGTCCTTTTCATGTTTGTTTGCCCATTGTTTCTGTTTACTGTATTTTTTCTGGAATCTCCTTTAACATATTTTGCGGTTTCTTGTTTGTCAAGTCCTAAGAAACACCGTCACTTCTAAGGTGATGGCATGTCATGTTTGACATGTGTCCGACACAACACGACACAACCCACGTTAGACACTTCCCAACAAGTCATACTATTTTAAAAATACTTTTAAACTTGGACACATTTTTGATAGTTGAAGAAGACATGTTTCTATTGCTTAAACACATCATTACTAGCCTGAACAAGACATGTTTATCCTTAGAAGAAGACTTTAAAAAATATTGTCCTCAATAGTCTTCTTCATTACTAGTCTTCTTCATTACTAGTCTGAAGAAGACATGTTTCTATTGCTTAAATTTATTATATAGTTGAAGAAGACATGTTTATCCTTAGAAGTGACGGTGTTTCTTAGAACTTGACAAACAAGAAACTGCAAAATATGTTAAGCAATATTCCAGAAAAATATGTTAAGCAATATGTTTATCCTTAGAAGAAGACACATCATTACTAGACTTTAAAAAATATTATATTTGAATTAAATATTCATATGTATGACATAATAATTGCTTATCCTTATATATGCCATATAATAAATATATAAATTTATATTGTTGCTCATGTTCCTAAATTTTTTGAAATTTTTTGTGTCTGTGTTGTGTCACGTATCTGTGCAAGTCCAGTTTTATATGATTTAAGCAAATCACGTAATTGAATCCCTTTCTTTGTCCTTTGTGGTTTCTAGTATGTGGTGGTGGTGGTGGTGTCGATGATTCTGTATTCTGTAAATTGCTTTGTGTGTATTTGTGTCGGTGCTCGCAAGCACCCTTGCGAGATAGTTATTCATTATTGTGCATGTACTAATAACATGCGAGTTCAATTTTGGAAAAACAATTAAAGCCAAAAGCAGGACCTAAAAGAACAACTGAAAGGGGTATGCTTTTCATTTCTTGGAATTGATTAGAATTTCCTTACATTTCCCTTATATTTTAGTGTTCATTACACTTACAACTTTAATACCATATGCAGCATGATCAATGCATCAACCAAGGCCTAAAGAAGGAAAAGGAATATGTATGTTTTATTTTTTTTAATAGTATTGGCTCAAATTACGGCAGTTGCATATGATTATCTTGCAAGTTCTCTGTACATCATTTTACTTTTTTTGGTAATTGTTTAAGCCCATCATGTTTTTATTTTTATCAACTACTGGACACGTCATACGTTTTTATTTTATCAACTACTAGACACATGTCATACTTCATAGTTGAAGTCCATTTTGTTCTATGATTTAAAGACACACAAGTAATGTAACTGTATCACTTTCTTTGTCCATTGTGGTTTCTATTTTGTGTTGGGTATGATGATGTTGATGATTCTGCGTTCTTTAAGTGTGTGTGTTTGTGTGGGCGCTAGCAAGCATGTCTGTGAGAGAGATTCAATATTGTAAATGTACTGATAACATGTGAGTTCAATTTTGGCAGCAAATTCAAGGCCAAAAGTAGAGCCTAAAAGAACAACTGAAAGGGGTATGCTTTTCATTTCTTGGAATTTATTAGAATTTCTTTACATTTCCCTTATATTTTAGTTTTCATTATGCCCACAACTTTAATACCTTATACAGCAAGGTTGATGCATCATCCAAGGGCTAAAGAAGGAAGAAGAACATGTATGTTTTGTTTTTTTAATAGTATTGGCGCAAATTACGGCAGTTGCATATGCTTATCTTGCAAGTTCTCTGTACATATTTTTACTTTTTTTGGTAATTGTTTAAGCCCTTTATACTTTTATTTTTATCAATGACTGGACGCATGTCATACTTCTTAGTTGAAGTCCATTTTGTTTTACAATTTAAAGTCACAAGCAATGTAATTGTATCACTTTCTTTGTCCATTGTGCTTTCTGTTTTGTGTTTGGTATGATGATGTCGATGATTCTGCATTCTTTAAATTGGTTTGTGTGTTTGTGTGGGCGCTAGCGAGCATGTCTGTGAGTTCAATTTTGGGTAAAAGGAAAACTGAAAAGGGTATGCTTTTCATTTCTTAGAATTGATTAGAATTTGTTCACATTTCTTTTTTTTTTTTTTTTTAAGTTTTCATGACACTTGCAACTGTAAAACCTTTTGCAGCAAGGCCAATGCGTTAGCCAAAGGCTAAAGATGGAAAAGAAATAGGTATTTTTTTTGCAGTTTTGATTTGTGTATAGTGATTATTCTATTTCTATCTGTTGACGATGCTATTCTTGCAAGTTCCTTTTCTTCTTTCTTACTTTGTGGTGATGCAGAAGTGGATGAGGGGATGAAAACTGAGATGGGCACTGAGGTTGACCAAGCACTTCACAAACCAGAAGAACAGGTATTGGTAGAATTAGATTCTCTAGTTATTTTCACCTACTGTTGTGTTTAATTTTCAACTTTGATTAGGTTGTGGGGTTTTGCAAGAAAATTTCGAATTTCATGTGTGCGCGCATCGCTTGTTTTGTAGTTTGCATTTTAAAGAAACTTACTCTTCAACTTTTTGGTTATTTTTCAATGGTACTTTTGAATGCTACCTCATAGATCATTGCCAGATTTGTCAGTTGATTAATTTTATGGTTGAGACGTTATATACCATGTTTCTCTTCTCTATTTAACCCAAAGTAGATGTTGGAGGAGGTTGTAAACCATTTCCAATATCCTTGGTGCTGTTCATCCATCAACAAGCACAACTCAACTGAAAAATGGTTATTGTGACTACTTGATCATAGGGCTGCAAGCGAGTCGAGCCAAGCCGAGTTTTGTTGAGCTTGAGCTCATTTGCTTATCGAGCTCGTTTATTGAGCTCAAGCTCGGGTCGATAACTAAGTAGGCTTGAGCGCTCGCTTATCAAGCTCGTTTGTAGCCCTACTTGATCATGCCAGCATCTTTGGCTTGGAGTGAACTGGTCTTGTTTAACATGAAAACGAGGCCTCTTTTACACAAGTATTATGTGCTAAATATGAACTATAAAGGATTGTTTGGTATTGTGAATAGATTGTATGGAAGTTTTGATTATTTTTGTTTCTGGCCTACTTTTCTAACCTGAAATGATGAGTCTTTGGTCAGTTTGTTACAATGTACTTATTCATAAATTTAATATGATAAATATGTAAATTTTTTCCTAGATATAATTAAGATTTGAATCATATGTATCAATCTTTCAAAATGAAGATATACCAAGTTTACTTTGACGCAAGTGGTGGTGACAAAGCTGCCTTGCCTGATCACAAGAAATTCCTCAAAGATGTTTTTTGCAGGTGTTAAATGTTTTGCCTTTTTATTTATCTAATTAAAAAGTAGTTGATCATTTAAAGATCTCTATGATAATTACATGTCCAATGGGATATTTTCAGTCGTGCATCTGAATTGGACACCACGGTAAACCCCATCAATGGCCATGTATTTGTTGTCTCGCTGACAGAGGAGGTGCATCCACTGGCTGGTTGGTTAACTCTGTGTGTATGTTGTGTGTATACTGAGTAATTTACTTTATTGGTTTTCAGGCGGGGATGAAGCATTGGGGATTAAAAGGTGGTATCCAGAAGAATTGGTGCAGTAGAATATTTGTCCATGAATTTTGAAAAATGATTCAGTCCTCTAAAAAAAGACCACTAATAGAGCTCTAATTTGTCTTTTTCTTCCCCTTCTTTTGTCTTTTACTTCACTGTTTGTTTGTTTGTTTGTTTTTTTTTTTATTTTATTGCTTGACAACTCACTAGAGCTGTACGGCTGCACCTCTAATTAGAGGTCTGTAGCAGCGTTGATGAATTTTTCTTTTTGCCAAAAAACAGAAATGAACTAATGGTTTATCAGAATGTTAACGTAAATTATCCATTAGAATATGTACTCTAGTGGTCTTATTATTAGGAATGGCAACGGGACGGGGCGGGTTTTTCACAACACACACACACAGATCTGTTCACAACACACATACACAGATCTGTTCAACCAAAAAAATAAAAATAATAATCTATATATGGAATCAACAACAACATCATCAATAATAGATCATCAACAACAACATCATTTTCATCAACAACATAATCAACGGCAACATCATAAAAAAAAAAAAATAGAGATCAATCAGATAGATGGTGGCGGAGGGAGGAGGAAGCGAGAGGGAGGATCTGAGTGGTGGAGGGAGGATTTGCTCAGATCTGAGTGGTGGAGGGAGGATCGGTTCAGATCTGCTGTGGCAGAGGGAGGAGGAGGCGAGAGGCGACGGTTCGGCGGTGGCCTGGAGGAGGAGGAAGCGACAGAGGAGGAGGCAGTGAGCAGGAGCTACGGCGCCATCGTCGATTGCGTGCGGAGAGAAGAATGAGAGAGTGATAGAGTGAGAGAGAGGCAACTCAGAGGAGTAATTAACAAAGGCTTATATATATGAATAACTCAGTGAGAGAGAGGCAACTCAGGCTTATATATATGAATAAATTGAGGGGTATTATGGTAATTTCACATCGGGGAGAAAGGGGTCGGGGACGGGGCGAGTTTGGGGCTGTGAAAGCTATCCCCGTCCCCGGCCCGAAACTAATCGGGGATTTAATTTCAAATACCATCCCCGTCCCGTCAGAGATTTTTTTTGAGGAAAAACCACTCTTATCGGGGATGGGGGGTCGGGTTCCCGCCGGACCGGGTTTAGATTGCCATCCTTACTTATTATCTCTAAGGTTAATAGATTTGTAATTAAGCCAGTTTATCAACTGGCAAGTGACGTGAACAATTATTCGTAATATATATATGTTTTTTTTTGTTCTAAATAAGAAAAATGTACGTTGAATTTCTTTTTCATGTTTATGCTCGGTATATTTAGTTTCTATTGAACATCTATGGCCTTGTTTGTTTGTCTTTTGAGAGACAATTTTTTTTTTTAAAAAGGTTTAAAAATTTGTTTAGTTAAAAAAATTTAAAATTATTTTTTTTTCTACTCGATATCAATCAATCACTTTTTTTCTTTTTTTTTTCTCACATTTTATATATCAATCAATCATTTTTTCTCATAATTATCTATTTAACTATAATAAAAAAAATTAAATTAAAATTTAAAATTATATTTAAAATATACAATCAAACAAATTATTAAATTTGTAAATTTTTATCAGAAAATTATATATTTAAATTATTTTACAAATACAAATCCAACATGGCCTATATGTTTGTTCTAGTATCCCCACCATGTATAAAATGTGCTCGTTGGTTCAATAAGATTGTACAGTTAAAATGTGCCCATTAACAGAGCCTGCCAATTAGCGGATCATAAATATATTTTAGTTAATGGTTGTATAGTAGTTATCATTGCAAATTCTAAGATATTATTATAAGAAATGAACAAAAATCAGGAGTTATGATTGAGATTTTTTTCAATTCATTCTGCATGAGAAATTGCCAATCTATTTGACTCTTTACCCGTCAATATAAAGGATTAGTTAATCAAATAATAGGTAATAACAGGTCAAATTGAAAATAAATAAATTGCTAGTTGCAGAATATTATTCTCATCAGACTTAAACATAACTAAGGAGATGTTTGGGAAGTGTTAAATTAGTATATTTTTTGATTTTTTATGAAAAAAATATGAAATATGGGTTGAGTTTGAAGTGAGAAAAATAATGTGACTCAAATAAAAAGTGATGTGACCCAAATAAAATGATTGCGCACATGTCAAACAACTACTAAACTAAGAAGGATTTGGACAATTTTGCTACCTTTTGGCGAAACAAGTTTACTCGAGGTTAAGATAAATATGATTTTTTTTTTTCTTCCATTTATGTATTATATAGACGGAATTGAGGTCAATGCTTAGCCTTTAACAAGCCAATTATAGACCTGTAGGGAGACTCGTCATTTAATGTCATCGCAATTGCTTAGTGTCATTGACACCCTGGGTCAACTCCAATGCCAATGCCATTGCCATCATCTATGACCAACAATCAATGCGCACTAAGGATTAACACCATTGATTTCCATCACCACTATTAAATTTTTTTGAAAGGGAGGGAGGGTGATTGAAGAAAAAAGGGATCAGCACCATTGATTTGCATCAGCACCATTAAATTTTTTGAAAGGGAGATTGAAAAGTTGGGAGGGTGATTGAAGAAATAGATAAGCGGGCAGAGGAAAATTGCATGAAGTGTCAGAGGCACACTGTAATAAATTTTTTGGAAAAGAGAGAGACTTTAATGAAAGACAAATAGAAAAGGGTAGATGAAAAAGGATAAGTCTGTACGTACAGAAATCGAATACAGAGTAAGACACAATTATCTTACAAAAGAGTCCACATGTGTGGGATCCAAATCACCATCCGGCTTCTTCTTCTTCCTCTTCCATTGATAACAATCAACCTCTATCCTACATTTTTTTTTTATATTTAAATTGTCTAATTTTTAGTTTTGGATATCTTTGAATAAATGTCAAGATTTTAACAAGTTATAAAATATATTTAAATTTAACTTATTTACATAATGAGCAATGTTAAATATTCTATAAAATATATATATATACAAAATACTCGCATAGGTATGAGATCCACACCATATGATCAACGAGTTTATATTTACTAAAGTTAAGTTGATTCAAAAATTATTGTCACACACGCTATTAGGTTATTTTCATATTTACAACATACATATTTTAAGAATAAGCTGTCTATTTGTTATAATGAATATGTGATTTGATCATATAATTACATATTTCTGATCCATCTAATTTTTTGCGTGAATGTTCTTCTCACCTTATCATATTGAATGAACAGTTCACATCATTGATATAAATATCATTAAACACATAATATGTCAATTTTACTTATGAAGTTAAGATTTTCAATTTTATCAAATCCGAACTCATGATCCACACTGATGTGAGTTTTGTGGGATATTGGTAATTTGTCTTAAAAATTTGAGGTAAAGATGTATAAGAAAAAGGGATTGGAAAAGGGTATGAAATATAATTTTTTTTTTCATTTTTTCTTTAATTTTTTCTTCTGAAAATCTTTTATCCAAAAAACCTAATATGATGGGCTAACATGTCATTAGGTCTGGCTACACATCTACTTACATCAGTACACATTATTTTTTAATACACATACTTATTAATTTGATTATTATTTATTCTTTTCAATTCATGCACAAAATATTTCAATTATATCATTCACGCGTAACATTATATACGCACCACATCAACCCTCCTCCCACACACACTTTTTGAAAATTGTAGACACTGCTATGGTTCTAGACAAACTTCAACAGTCAAAGTGAAGTGAAGACTGTTGAAGGCCTCCATCGCTCCATTGAAGATCCCATTGAAGACACCCACCAGTAGTTACCCTTTTCCGGTAGTGTTTGTTGGCGGCAAGTTCTTGGGTGGGATTGAAACCGTCATGGCTTGTTACATCAACGGAACCCTTGTCCCTCTCCTCAAAGACGCCGGAGCTCTCTGGCTCTAAGACGGCAATTTGACAAACCACCACTGCAACATCTGACTGACCACCACCAGCCCATTGCCAGAATATGCCTTGAAATTACATTATATACATATATATAGATATAGATATAGGAATATGAGTAGATATGGTGGGTTCGTGGAGGGGACAGGGGAAGAAGGGTGACAAGAATGTGTTTTTAGAGAGAGAGAGAGAGAGTAAAGGTGTTTGGTAACATGGAAAATTGTTAAGCATGAGAGAGACGGAATATAATCTCTGATATGACTGATATATGTAGTTAGAAAAATGTTTTTTTTTACCTATAAATTCTACTTCAATGAGTCTATTTTCATATTGGAAAATGAGTGAAAAAGTAGGTGCCACGTTATTAGTAGTTGTTTTAGAGCACCACTTTTAATGATCTCTAGCATTACCTTTTCATATTTTATGTATTGTTTTTAGCATTGTAAAATGAAAGTAAGTTCTATATAGTTAATGATAAATACAAATGTTTATGTAAATATTTATTTAGAGTATAGAGTGTGGGGTAAATAAAGTGAGAAATAATTGAAGAAGTGATAAATAATGGAGAAATTAGGATTTAATTTTTTTTTTTACTCAAAAGATTTACATTGAGGTTTTTTTTTTTTTAATTTTTAAAAAATGTGTACAGAGAATATTTTAATATAATAGGATGTCTATTATGAAACATTTTACTTTAGGGTATAATTGTCATTAAAATAATATTTCATTAAATATGTGCACTGAGATAATTAAGTATGTGAAAATAAAATTTCCTCAAAATGAGTTAAAAGTTAAAAATTAGTTTTTTACTTAGCTTCCCAAACTGCCTTTTTTTTTTTTTTTTAGGCTTTATTAACTTTTTCAAAAAATTTCAATAAACATTTTACTTTTAAGTTTTACTAGATTAAATAGACCTAAAAATTAAATAAATAAAGTTTTAAAAATTTATTAAAGACAACCAAAAAAATGACCTCTTTTAGTTTTTTTTTTCTTTAATGAATTATTTTTGAATTTATTTAATAAAAAAACTATTTTGTAAATTGTTTTAAACTACGCAAACTTGAAAAATAAATTGTTTTTATATAAACTCTCTCTCTCTCTCTCTCTCTTTTTTTTTTCCTAACTAAAGACAACAAAACAAAATATAAAAGAAAAAATACTACAAATTTGTTGATATTTATTTTTGTAGAATTTATTTTTATATAAAAGGCGAGTTTTTATTGGGCGGGCTTAGAATTGTAACGTCATTTTAGAGTTGGGCTTCAAATTGTTTTACTGGACCCAATGTTACATTCAAACTGGGCATGACGTTTTTGGTTTTTCTAGCCTCCTCTTGGGTCAGTCCATGCTCAATCCTAAGCCCAAACCAAAAGCTGCTTCAGTTCAACTACGGTCATATTGGGATGAACACCACTCTATAATCAATTTTATTTGATAATTATAAACACAAAAATAAATTATATTTTATTTTATAAATGATTGCTGTTCATTTTATAAAACAAAATCTAATTTATTCATATTTTTATGAATTTCTAATGAAATTGATTATTTTTGTCATGAATGATTTTTATTGCATGACTTATAAGATAAATATTTAAATTATTAACGTGAGTCTGAATTGAAGTCTAAAAAAAAAAATATGAATAAAATTTGAGAGATAAATGTTTGAATGGATCCAGAGGCATGAAATTTCTATAATCCCCTCAGATAATTACTCGGCTTTTTGTGAGTTTGGCATAGGTTGGAGTTAAAATAATCACAAAAATGATAAAATAGTCTTGTAGTTCTGGGTTAAAAATTATCGTATTTAAATTATAATTATTTTATTTTTACTTTTAAAAGAGCTAAAAAAACTCATCTCAAATAAGACTATTTTAATTTCAAACTAAAATAATAAAAAAATTAAAAGACTTTGGCAGTCTGTACTTGTGGTGTGTTTTTTGATAGGCCATAATCTCTCTCGCTCTCTCACTCACATACTTTAATCGATTTTATATAATCAAATTTGTATTCTTTTCGTGGGCTTTTGACTTTGGCAGTCTATAAGCCTCCGTTTGGGAAGTGGGTTGACTTTTTGGCTTTTTGGCTTTTTTGGCTATTTTAGCCTGGGCTTAAAAGCTTGGTTTGGGAAGAGCTTTTTGGCTTTTTGACTTTTTTGAGTTTTTTTGTGAGAGAAGAATGTAATGATTATGTGTTGGATGTGATGTTTTGTTTGTTATGACTAAAATAGCCTATTTTGTCTTTTGTGACTAAAATAGTCAAAAAAGCCCAAGAACCAACTTGCCAAACAGAGGCTAAATAAGCCTCCTGTGTTTTTTGATCGGCCATAAGCTTCCTCCGTGAAAAAAAAGGCTTTAAGTTGCTGCTGGATATTATATGTGTTTGTGCATTGTCAAAAGTGGCACTAATTTTCTTTGTTATACATAACCTGCGCTTATAAATTACTAGTCTATCATCCGTACTATGCACGGAATAATTATAAATATTTATATTTATTTTAATTTTTTTTAATATATAAATTATATTTTTAAAGATTTTTTATAAAAGTAATTTAATAATTTTATCACTAATCATAGTGTACAGGAGAAATTAAAAAGGCTACTGCAGTAACTATGCACGGACTGTATCTATAATTCTTTATATGAGGGGATTTTAAATAGTAATAAGAGATTTTGACCAAATCAATAAATGCAGGCATGTAGATTGGAAAAAAGTTAATAAATGCTGATCAGGGGATTTTGACCAAATCAATAAACGCTAAGGTTTTTTTTTTTTTTAATTAACTTTCCTTTTAAAATATGTAAATCAAGGAATAAAAGCTATTTAAATATTTAAATGGATTAATTAACTTTTCTTTTAAATGGATCAATTACTATATTTTTAGAGTTTTTATAAAAATGATTTAACAATCCCATCAGTAACCATAGCGTATGGAAGAAATTGAAAAGAGTATTGCAGTAACTATGAGAGAAGTCAAAAAGGCTTATGGATTGGAAGAAGTCAATAAATGCTAAGTTTTTTTTTAAAATCAAAAAATTAGAAACTCAAGATTGGGATATTGGAGCTCCCACAAGACTTGTGGTTTAGAAACCCCCTTTTTCTTAATATATTTACAATTATCTATATATGTGAATTGCGATTTTTAAATGTCTTTTTTTTTTTTTTTTAAATGTCTTCTTTTTTTCCTTTTTTATATTATATTAAAGTTTAATATTTTGATAATAATCATGTGTTGGACTTTTCAAGAATTTTTTTTTATATTTGTTCTTAATGCATTAAAGTGTTATTATGAGAGTAACACTTGGGGGTTGGGAGAAGTTAATAAATGATAAGGTTTTTTTTTTTTAAATCAAAAAATCAGGAAATTTAAATTGGGAGATTGGAACTCCCACAAGGCTTGGGGTTAAAAATCCCATTTTACTTAATATATAGTATAGATAGGGGAAATTACAAGACAGTGGAACGTTGAGAATTTATTTATCAAAAGCTGAGGGTGCAACTTTTGTTATGATTTTATTGTATAGAAAAAGTTGCATCCGCCCATCTTCTTGTAATTATTTTTGATCTTTTACACTGATTTGTAATTTTCATTAGATTATATCATAACAAAGGTTTGTTTTGCCTTACTAGTCTTTTCTTACAATAATGCTAGGTACCTAAAAAAATAAATATATGAAAAACTTGGAATTCTTATCTTCAATCTTGTTCTATCTTTTGTATTACAACAAAAGTTGTTTCCCTCTTTACATAGAGAATTTAGTACATTAACCATTCCCATACATTCATGTATATTCACACATCCAAAACCCCCTTTCAAACCCTAACATTTTAATTCATGAACTAGACTCTTCAATGTTTCTAATAAATAAATTTTAAATTAACTTCCAATGTCATTAACCTTTTGTCTAAGACTTTGATCACCACCTATGGAATGCGAAATTGCCTCCACAGGAAAAAGCGAGATGATGTGTCCCCTCATTGACTTCCGCAAGAGAAACTAAAGTCATTGATCACCCCCAACCTGGTGAGGCCAGGAGGACCCTTCGACGATCAAGTTAATATACTGATCGGCCATAGAAATTAGATATGGAATAACTGAATGAAATGGGTTCTTTGGCTTACCTTGGTTTGTCCTTTGTATTTTATCTGTCTCCCTATTTATAGCGTTTTAGTTTTCATTGTGATCGTCTATTTAACCTTTGATCGGAGGGTTCTGCCCTTACTAGTGGGCACTTGCGCTAGTTGCCAACTTGCTTTTGTTATTGATAGTCGGATGTGAGCTCATCGGATGGTGAAGATGGTGTCAGGTAGTAGTGGCCAACTTGTTTTGCATCATGATCGTTGGATGAGAGTGATCAGACAACTCTTCCTTTTGCTAGCCCCAGTCTATGCTGCCATACTTCTGACATCGACTCTGATCCGTTGGATTAATATTTGATCTAACGATTCTGGTTATCTCCTGTGATTTCCCTTCTAGAAGAATATCTTTTCATTCACGCATCCAAGTTTGGAGTGCTGGATTGATATCCGTTTTTGGGGCCTATTTCAATCTTTTGGGCTTTTCCATTTTTGGGTTGGGCCTGGAACCCATATTTTTCCCTCCAAACCACCTTACACACAGACCTATCCTATTATGCCACATGTTCTGCTCGGTCCAGCTTGGCATGAGCTAGGGTCCGCGTTAGGTTTAGCATATTATGCCTAATGGTTGTAGTGTTTTGGACAGGAGGACAGTGAGATTTAAGAATAGAGGATCATTGGGTGTATCAGACAGGCAATAGCATTAATTTGTATATAATTTAGTACATAATTTCAGGTGAATTAAATCTTGTAGGAAAATATTATACTGTATGTTTATACATCTGCATTAATCTTCTTAGTACTTATGCACACAGAAGTACTTAATTATTACTTTCTATCTTAAATTTTTCTCTGTTATGTAAATACAGCTCTTGATTTGTTGAAAGATATAGAGGTGGATGCAATAGTTGGTCCTCAAAAATCTTCACAAGCCAATTTTGTGATGGAACTAGGAGACAGAGCTCATGTGCCTATCATTTCTTTCTCTGCAACAATTCCTTCTGTGCTTTTCCCAACTCCATAGTTTGTTCAAACAGCTCTTAGCAATGACACTCAAGTTGGGGCCATTGCTGCCATTATTGAAGCCTTCCAATGTAAAGAAGTTGTCATTATTTATGAAGACACAGACTATGGGAATGGAGTAGTTCCATATTTGTCAAATGCATTAAAAGATATCGCCCGAATTTCCTACAGAAGCATCATTCCTCTTTCAGCTAGTGATGATTTTATACTCAGTGAGTTATCCAAGATGATGAGAATGGAAACAAGGGCATTCGTGGTGCACATGACACACTCTCTTGGCATGCGTTTATTTCTTACAACTAAGGAAATAGGAATAATGTCCGAGGGCTACGCATGGATCATCACCGATGGGCTAATAGACCTACTCTCTGCTCAATGGATTCCCATGTCATAGAAGCAATGCAAGGTGTCTTGGGGTAAAGCCTCGCATTCCCAAATCATCAGAACTCGACTCTTCCATATTTAGGTGGAAGATGAAGTTTCTTCAGGATAATCCTACTGTCAAACAGGCTGAGATAAGCAGTTTTGGGCTATGGGCATATGACACTATGTGGGCACTGGCTATGGCAGTAGAGATAATTGGATTTAGGAAGCCAATCACTTTAGAGAAAAATGCAATGAATTTGACAAACCTATTTAGTTTTGGAATCTCTCAAACAACCAACCTGTAACAAACCCGCTCAACACATCCTATAACTCAAATACAAAGTAAGAAAGGATGTAAACAAGATAATAAACAACTACCAACATCCACGGACACATGTCCGAATCATTATACAACAAGGGTAAACCCGGGATCGCTATAACCATTCCAAATATTAAATGTAGTTGGAAAGGGGGAGAGAGAGGTCGGAATCTGGACACAATCTCATGGAATTTCAAGGGAATTCAACATGAATGCAGCAAATTCTTCATCAACTTTGAAGGAAAACTTTCGAGCAATTATATGGCCTAAAGATTCAACACATGTACCGAAAGGCTAGGAAATTCCAGTAAAAGGTAAGAAGCTAAGAATTGGGGTCCCAGTAAAAGATGGTTTTACTGAATTTGCAAAGGTGGAAATAGACTCTCAATCCAATTCCACAACATTCAGTGGATATTGTATAGAAATATTTGATTATGTATTAAAAGCATTACCATACGATGTGCCAAGTGAGTACGTTCCCCTCAAGAAAGTTGATGATGAGAATTATTATAATGATCTGGTATACCAAGTTAATCTTCAGCAGGTTAGTTACATGCTTACAGATAAGATTTTTAATGGTTTTTTTGCCTTCGAAATTATCAGTTTATTCTTGTGGAACTAACAGTAAAAATGTGAGGTTTTTTTTGCTGGTTGAATTAGAATTATGATGCTGCAGTAGGGGACATTACGATCACAACAAATTGATCGTTCTACGTGGATTTCACATTGCCATTTGCAGGTGGAGGGGTTTTCATGATAGTACCAATTACATATGAGGACAATAACAGTAAATGGATCTTCTTGAAACCGTTCAATATGGACCTGTGGCTAACAAGCATAGCTTTCTTCATCTTTACTGGATTTGCTGTTTGGGTTCTTGAACATCGAATAAATATTGCATTTAGAGGTCCACCTTCCCAGCATGTTGGTATGATCCTTTGGTTCCCCTTTCCATCACTAGTATTTGCACACAGTTGAGTAATGTCTTATTTGTACTCATTTTGTTTAATTAATGTCCAACTTCCTTCTCATAGACCTCGTGCATCCTTCTCATAGACCTCGTGCTTTCTTGTAGGAGAAAAAATAGTGAGCAACTTGGCTAAGTTTGCTGTGGTGATATGGTTGTTTGTGGTGCTTATATTGGGCTCGAGCTACACTGCAAGCTTGTCATCTGGATAAACATTGCAAAGGCTTTAACCAATTGTGACTGATGTGAACTCACTCTTAAAAAATGGGGACTATGGTGGGTACCAATATAGCTCTGTCATTGGTGATATCTTGAAGGGAATGAAGTTTAATGAATCCAAACTCAAGTCGTACAATTCTCGTGAAGATTGTCATGAAGCTTTATTAAAAGGAAGTAAAAATAAAGGCATATCAGCTTTTTTTGATGTGCTGCCTTACAATACGATTTTCCTTTCCAAATATTATGACAAATACATGGCAATAAGGTCCCTCTATTGACAAATACATGGCAATAAAGGCTATGGTACTGATTCACTACTAAAGGTGCATGTACTTGGTTAGAGCATCCAAATTAGAAGTGGTTCCTTCAATCCCATCTTGAATTTAGTAAATTTTTGGTATTTGAGGATTTCATCACACTATACACAGATATATGTTTGGTATCAAAGTAGGAATTGTGATCCTGTAATTATGTTTGGAACTGTTTAGTTGAAACATACTATGGTTGACAATATAATTATTCAAAAGATAGCAGTAATAGGGAAAGTCTATTCTTACATAAAATTTATGCAAAAAGTGTATACAGAATGATATGATGATGAAATTTTTGAAATTAAGTTCCTTCTTATGGATGTTTTAATTTAAAACGAATTGCTCAGTTCAAACATGTCATGCTGTACCCAAAAAAATGTATTTCTTTGTTCATATAGCTTATCACCCGTAGTAATATTGCTCATTCATGATATAAATCACCTTCTTTGCATTTATATTTACAGGTTTTCCCTAAAGGGTCTCCTTTAGTTACTGATATATCTCGTGCAATAATCAACATAACAGAAGGTCGTAAGATTTTGGACACTGAGCAACAGTGGTTTGGAAATACCACATGTCCAGAGCGCAATTCTTTCACCTCAAATAGCTTAACCCTCCAAAGTTTCGTAGGCCTTTTCTCTATTACTGGATGTGTCACAGCTTTACTCCTTATTGTATACATAGTCAAGTACATATATGGAAACATAGATCTTCATAAAAGAATGTGGGACTCCAGCACCACAACTTGGTCTAGATTTTGTGCACTATGCAGGCATTTTGACCAAAGAGACCTCTTATCCTACCCTTTTAGCAAGAAGAGAGACAGGATAGATCAAGAATTGGAACTTAATGACATTGGTGGATCGTTTCATTTTAGTGACGCGCCAAGCTTATCAAGAAATTCTAACTCCAATGAAATGGTTTCACTAGTGGGAGAAGTATATGATGCAATTGAGGGTGTCGATCCAAACTCAGAAGATATGGTTGTAGTACATATTTGACATCAACTGGCATCTTTTAATGCTTGGATTTAACAAAAGGCGAAAAGAAAAGAAAGCACTGTGACAACTCTCAAGGCAAGAAAAAGAAAAAAAAAATTGTGTTCCATGTAGACATTGGGACTGTTCTTGACTGCTACATCCCTAGTTGCTTTCAATATTTTGCAAAAGTTTTGGTTAATCTGGACTGTGAACCACTTGATCTCCTTCATATTTATCTCTTCCAATGTCTTTTTTCAGGATGTCCAATTGTCGTAAACTGCCTCTATTGTGGCCTCCTTTTTTGCTTTAACATTTTAGAATAGGAATGACTGTCGCAAAAGGATAAACTAATAGCTATAAATTTTTTTGTTTGTTTTAAGGTTAGTACACTGTTAGTCCCCAATTATAAGATCTATCTTATTTTAATATCGGATATTTCAATTGTGTCGATTTAGTTTGCACATTGTTTAAATGATCTCCGAACATCGTTTTTTGGATAAAAATACCTTGTTTTCGTTATAAAATTTGGACAAAAAATGATACTGGGAAGAAATTGACACAATGAAAAGTGGAAAGAAATTGACATACTGTGAGAAAGAAGAGAGAAAAGAGGATACTTGTCCAAATTTATGTTTCTTTCTTTTTTTTTTTGATGAGCAAAAAGGAGTCCTTTATTAACAAACAAAATAATACATCACAAATGACAAGGACGATTGAAAAAAATGCATTATAGCAGTTTGACTCATCCTAACTAGATTGGCACAAAAAAGGAATGTAAAGCTCCCAAACAAAGCAAGGTTGTCTGTCGAGGGTGTAAAACCCAAGTTATATGTAGAATTATTTTATTGGATAGATTGGTAATTAAATTAATTTAAATGGGTCATTTAGTAATATCAATGAATTAGTTATGAGATGGTTTATAATTTCTATTACTTAGATAGGTAATTTTGCAATTTTGGGAAAATTAGGTTAATAAGCCAACATGTTTTGCTTCAAGTCTTGGAGGAAAACAGAGGTCTCGACCTGGTTTTAAAGGCTGCCGCAGGGTTTAAAAAAAAAAATAAAAAATAAAAAATAAAAAAATAAAAAAATAAAAAAAGGAGAGGAAACATTCATAGAGTGGTGATTTTGATCTATTTATCTCTTAGAGGTAAGATTTATTTTATTGTATTCCTATTTATGAATTTAGTTTTAATATATCAATAGATGATTTGTATGGGTATATATGACTAAATAAATATATTGATGTAGTCTATGCTGGGGGTGTCAATTTCGCCGGACTTAGAGCGTATTTTGCATTCTGTTTGGGTGGTTTGTGTTTTGGGATTGATATGCGATGTGTTAAGTTTAATGGTGGTGTATTTGTGGGATACAAAATTGACTGCAAGTAGTTACGAATTTATACATGTATATGAACAACAATAGAATAATATAAGTTGATAATTTCCAAAGCCGTGATGGCTCTGTTTTGATGCTGAAGTGTGGGAGTTCTTGGTAGACTATTGGATTAATTTATTCTATTGTTGTTACAAAGAAAAGAATGATGGGTGCAAATAATAATTGTTTATGTGGTGTAATATTTTATTAGGTTTGTGAGATTGAGGTGGGTCTTGGTAATTTGAGATTAGCTTGAGAAATATTATTTTAGCTATTTGAGATAAGTAATTCTCTATCACTGTTAGTTTATTTTTATTTCTATCGAATCGTTTGAAATTATAAATATTTATTTATAGTCTTCCTATTCTTTTAAAATAAAATATGGATAAAATATAAAATAGCATTGAATATTATTTTCAAAATTATTTGAATATTTTGTGAAACTATTCTGAAAGTTGTACCAAATGTTTATTTTGAAAATATTGAATATTTTATTTAAAAATTGTGTACCAAATGTTTATTTTGAAAATATTGAATATTTTATTTAAAAATTGTGTATTGTTTGAATTCTGAATATCACTCTAGTCTGACTATGATTTAGACCCTAGCTAATCGGGGTTATTTATTGGCAAAGAAACTAATTTCTTTTGGGGTTTAACCATCGGCCTATGTGTGGTTCTGAGTCTCGTCACGGGTTAAGTGATCGTAATCACCAAGACTTGAGTTTTATGAATCGAATCATTGAACCGTCTGAATATCGAACCATCTATTTGAACAACGAAATTTCTTCGAATTATCTCATTGTCTTTTCAATTAAAATGTATTGCTACATTGTTTATTTTCAGTTATGAAATCATCTTACAAAATAATTGTTCATTTATTGAATTGTAGCAAAAATATATTTATTGATTATCAACTATTTTTTTGTATACTTGATCTAGCTAGCAGTGATGGTTGGTTCTGTGCAGGTTTTTACTTGTGGGATTGCCAAGAGTAGGACTATGATTTAAGTTACTTGGATTACTATTTTGTTAGTGGATTATATTAGTGGACTTTATGGATAATTTCCTATGATAAAGATCGTTTATTATTTATGGATTTTGGCATTATGATAGTTAAAATTTTAATTTGAGTATTTTATATTGTTGGCTTATTCGATTGTATTCTTAGCCTCACATGCTCACTTAGATAAGTGTGCAGCATTGTGATGGGACTTGGGACGTGACAAAGGTCAACAAAAGCAACAGGGGAAAACAAAAATAACAAACACCAAACTGAACCCCAGCTGCCCCTGTTCCAAAATAGCAACCAGAAGACATCGAAAAAACACCTTATCAATCTAAACTAGGAACGAGAATTTTAAGACATAATTTAATGACGGATAATGCTTTGGAACAAGGAGACATAAAAGATTTAAGAAAAGAGGATGAAAAAGCACATGTGAAAACAGAAGTGTTGTGACTTTAAAGGCAATTTTGTCCATTAATTGTTTTTGTATTTTACATATCATTAGTGTGAAAGCAAATTACTGGTTCATGGCATATCCATTCTATTTTTTGTTTGTTTGTTTGTAGTTGTCCTTGTTATTAAGCACCAGGTTGGTGATTGGCAGCAATCAGGCAAAGGCAAACAAGTGTTAAAATAACACTTTGAGAAAGACCACTTATGTGTTTTTTATCTAATCTTTAATTAGTCGGAAAATTGCACAGGAAAGACAAAAAACTACAATATCAACTCTATATATTTTTAGAATATTCGTAGAATGTATAATGGATAGTTTCTTACTTCATAAAAATTATTTTACTAGCTATTTATTTTATCAGCATTTCATAATATATAATGAAATGATCTCCAATTTTTTCACATGTCATTCAATAACATCAATTTCATCGAGTTGATTTTATTTATACAAAAGGTATATATTATTTTTTTTTATGTTGTTTTAATTTAAAAATTTAAACATTTTTACATTTAAAAATTTATTTATACAAAATTTTATACAAAAATAAAAAATAACTTGTTAAATTTATCTAATTTTCTCATTCAATACTTATTTCGGAACCCTTATATGAAAAATGATCTTCAATTAATATTGTACCTAAGTCAACTCAATTTTTTTTCAACGCTCCTACAGACCCCCAGTGACGTGGCGGGCCTCCATTGGCCAGCTTTCTGTTTTTTTTTTCTTTTTTTTTTCTTTTCTTCCAATCCTGCAGTGCCACGTGGCACTGGGGGTCGGTGGGGGTGGGGTTTACTGGGGGTCCGGCGCATTTTTGATTTTTTTTATGCACATCTTGAGCCCCCTTGACAATTTCTGCTTCTGCCCCTACCGAGCTAAGAGACCCCAAAAAAAAAAAAAAAGGGGGAGGGGACTGCTTCTCATCACGGCAGCAACAAAAAGTTGCTCCCCTCCTAATTTAATTTAAGGTTTAGGTTCTCTCCAACCGAGTTCGTTGGTTAGATCAGTGTAGTTCGGGTCTGCAAATTTATTGCAAGTTTTACTTTAATAATTTGATTTGTTCGCTTTACACATCCTTCTATGTACATCTATATATATAAAAAAAAAAAAATTTAACTTTTTTTAATAACTAGATGTTTGGACTAGTTTGTGTACACCTTAACTAATTTGAGACCATAAATTAATAACCCGACAAACCTCCTCCAGTGACCTTTTAATATGACTCGAACTTGAAACATCTTAGATCTTATTATCAATTAGTTAAGTGTAATTAGATGATATTATGTGGACCCAATATACTTAATCATTGTGTATGTGAAGATATAGTAAACAAAATATATGACGCTTGTAGTCTGGTATCTTTTCTTGTTTATATCTATCCTAGTCTTTTATTGTTGCTTGGGAGTTGATAAATTGGTTTTTGAGCTTGTTTTAAATAGGTTGGGCTTAGTATTTTCTGGGGAGTTTTTTGTTTGGTTGTTTTTGGGTTCGCTCGAGTGGTGAGTTGGTCACTTGAGCGATCTTTCATTTCTCTCAGATTTTTGTAATTTGGGATTCTGGGAGGGGGTTATTCTTCGGTCAAGCGGTCTGGTTGCAGTTTGAAATACTGAGAATTTCTATTCTTCATTTGAGTGGTGATTTGGTCGCTAAAGAGATCTATTATGCAAGGATGATCCTTTGAGAGTTTGGTTTCTTCGCTCCAACCATGTGACGTAGCGGAATAAATCACACGAGACTAGATATCGTTCAAGTAGACGAAAAT